TTCCTTCCTCCAAATGCAGCTATACTAAGGGTTAAGGCTGCACGCTATGAATTTCATGCAGACACAGTTCAGTTCCTAACAGGAAGACAACCAACCAAGCAAAACAACCTGTGATGTTTAGTCATTCCGGAGTGTAGTCTGATGTGTGTGAGGCACTTGAAAGTTTTCTTAATGGCTTAAATACCTTTTAACAAGTACACCAAACGGTGTGCTTGTTACGTTCAGTAAGTGTGACTGAATTGACTTAAAAAAATCTTATGCGAGTTTTCCTCATGAGAGATCATCTGCAGGCAGGTTCATGCTCTTTGGTGAGAGAGTGGCAGGACATTACCAAGACCAGGAGGTAATCATCTGAGGGGCCATCTGCATAGGCACCGGCTGAGACAGTCACAGAGCAACTGAGCCTGTTCAGGGACGGTGTTTGATCTATCCGTGCAGGCAAATGCATACTTTAAAACATCTAGGCAGCTAGAGAGACACAGAAAGGATACACGGGTTCAGGGACTAAATGTAGTTTGCGGGGCAAACTGGGCCTTAGGTGAAGGGAACAGGAAATCCTTCAACTTATCCCGTTCCATCCTCTCCTCCCTCCTCCTCGTTTCCTCCCCTCCCCTCTCCTCTCAAACCTCTCCAAGTTTGTTTGCTTGTTTACACAGGCTCTCACTTTGGCTGTCACTAAACTCATTACATGGACCGGATTGGGCCTGGAATTCCCTGAGATCTCCCTGCCCCTGACTTCCTGATACTGGGATTGCAGGCGTACGCAACTACATCTGGACCAGTCTTAGAATCTTGCTGCAATTAGAGGTTATATGTTTCAGATCTTGCTGATAGATGATGCTGAAACTGGCCTTTTAAATTCACCACAATACTGAGTTCGAGACCAGCCTGGTCTACAAGCGCTAGTTCCAGGACAGCCTCCAAAGCCACAGAGAAACCCTGACTCGAAAAAGAGAAAACAAATAGTTAATAAAAATAAAAAAGTAAGAGGCAGCTCTTACATATTGGTTAAGACACAGGCTCTAACCTCTCCCAGAGATGGATGGCATCCCCAGTGGGAATAGTATACACGTGGGTCCTTCGATAGCTCAGTTGGTAGAGCGGAGGACTGTAGATGCTCTTCTGGCTATCCTTAGGTCGCTGGTTCGAATCCGGCTCGAAGGAATCTTCACCTTTAGCTATTTTTGCTGAGTATTGAGTGTCACCTTCAATATTTGAAGCAGTCTAACATACACTGTTATCGATGTGCAGTGAAACTGCTGTTTTTAAAACTCGTTCTCTGTAGTAATTTTTAATGCTCGCAAGCAGACTTCGACTTCATAGATCACATAATCCCACCCCTGGAGATCCTTGTGCCTTGTGAAAAGGGACCAGGAACGTTCCCTAGGCTTGGGGTCTGAAGCGGGGTGTGTGCCCTCAACGCCCCACGCACCCCCTGGGACTACCTCGGTTAATAGGTGGGGCACGCGCGCCCTCCAGTGGCCAGAGAGTCCTCAGCAACTGGCCTTCAGGCTCAGCTCTCAGTTTCACAATGCCTCGGGCCGCAAGGGAAATACTGTCCGTTCAGTCTTGGTTTAATTGTGTTACGGTGGTTTGATGTTTGTTTTTTTCCCAAGAGGCTGGGAAAACTCGGAGCATATCAGAATCACCTGGAGACAATTTACAACCTAGGAGTTAGTAATTTCAAAAGGTATGACGACGATTTTAATGAATTTTTAAAACACTGCTAGGCACGGTGGGTTTATTACCCAACAATCTCAGGCCAGCCCTGGCAATAAAGTTTGTCTTAAAAACAAACAAAACAAAAGGCACTGATAGAAAAGAAATGACAATTTTAAGAGAGAAGTGCTAAAGGGGATTAGTTCAAAAGAGATCTCAGTACCAGTAGAAAGTATTTGCTAATTTTGTGCTAATCCCATTAAACTACGTTATTCCTGCTCTCAAAATGTGATCTCAGATACAAAACTGTGATTCTCAGATACACAGTGGAAGAGTGTCAGACAGGGATTACTATCAAGTAATTGACAATCGATATACCGAAGTTGCACAGGGTTTTGTAATTGACAATCGATATACCGAAGTTGCACAGGGCTTTGTAATTGACAATCGATATACCGAAGTTGCACAGGGTTTTGTAATTGACAATCTATATACAGAAGCTGTACAGGGTTTTGTAATTGACAATCGATATACCGAAGTTGCACAGGGTTTTTTTTGTAATTGACAATCTATATACAGAAGCTGTACAGGGTTTTGTGCTTTGCAATTTCTTGTACCTTTCATCCCATATGTCAGAACTTTTATTCTCTTAGCAAATTATTTTCAATTGTTGTTGTAAATCCTAGCGATCTTAAATTAACAGCATGAAAAATCACGAGGCCGGCCCAGCTGCTGTCCTGCCTGAACTGGCTGGCAGCTCCGGAATCTCTTGTGTTTTGAAAGTGTGTTGGGACAAGAGAAAAATAGTCTAATTTTCTTTTTAAAGATAATGTATTAGATAGCCCTGGACTAGATTTCTCTGACAGAGTTCTACATTTCTTTCCGTATCTTGGACGGTATTCTGAGATATTATAAAACGGGTAATAGGCCCAGGGTAAAGCAAATAAGCAAGCAACCTAGATTCAAACACACCTATGCTCGATCTACATATCCCCATCTTATTAACAAAGGGGAGCGCGTTTATTTGCAGCTATAAGAACTTGATAGGAGGCACCAACATGGTCCCTCACAACTGTCTGTAACTCCAGTTCCAGAGGACCTGACACCCGTGGGAAAACACCAATGTACATAACGTAAAAATAAATAAATTAAAAAAAACAACAACCTAGAAATGTAAAGACAAAAACGAAACAAACAAACAAACAAAAACAAGCAGAAAAAGAAAAAAGAACTTGATAGGAAAACGGGGTAAAAGGTGAATAAAAGGATCATATTATCACATAACTATTGGAAGGGTAGGCGTGCAAATTCCCTCGAAAGTAACAAAACTCCAGCCCTCCAAGTCATGAGGGAAATCTCACACAACTCGGCCATTTCCTATAGAAAAGTGTGTGACAACAGCTGAAGGAAAATGCGGAGAGGGTCTTTTGAGCGACGGGGTTGGTGCCTTTGGGAAAAGACTGGAGAATGCGGGCATCGATCCCGCTACCTCTCGCATGCTAAGCGAGCGCTCTACCATTTGAGCTAATTCCCCACCTGGTGGTAGACTGCTGCTGACTTGCTCCCTTTTGGTATCTGAATTTAATTCAACACAAGCAGTTTCAGTCCACCAAATAGAGAGGTTTTTTGTTTCTTGTTTTTATGGGTTTGCTTTTAAAAGTCCAATGAAATCTGAACAAAAAATAATAAAACTGAGATGGAGAAGGTGAAATATCGTATTCAAGAAAATTTTTTCCAATCTGGGTGAAGTGTTCCGTAAACCTAGAACTGCAGAGGAGGAGGAGTCCTGAGGCAGGATAATTGCCTCCTCTTTAGAGACCAGCTTGGAAAACGAAGCTGAAAGTGTGGGATTGTGGTTTGGTAGTCGCGGAACAGCCCCGGGGTGACTTCCGCCCTGTACAGATGACGGACAGTACCTCTTGTTCTGCACAGGCACAGGGATGCGTACAGGGGGCCAGGGCGTGCAGATCACTGAACAACAGTGCTGGGATTGGCAAAAAAAAAAAAAAAAAAAAAAAAAAAAAATCCCGGAACCCTATGTACAGAAACCAGATGGCAGGAGGGAATTAAGCTTTCAGCAGAGAAAAACACTCTAGTTCCTCAGGCGTCGAGGCTGGGCTTTGGCCCACTCCTCGGTCCTCATCCCACTCTCTACACTGGGTCCAGAAATGGACTCCTTCATCACTACGGTTCAAAACAAACCAACGAAAAACAAGGCGCTGACTTTGAGGAATGAGCCCTTTGTTTTTTTGTTTTGTTTTGTTTTAAACCACTGCCGGAGTCACATGGCCAAGAGCACGTCTGTCTTGGTTTATTTATCTTCCCTTTGATTTTTTTAGGCACTATTTCGAGGAGTTTCAAAATTAGTCTTTCAAAGTAAATGCTGAGAAGCTGGTAACTTAAATTCACTGTGTTGTCGAAGACGATCCTTAAATCATGATCTTTCTGCCTTCTTTCAGGAATATTCCACCACCTTCGGCTAAAAGTGGATACAAATACGAGTTCAGACAAGAGAAGTCTGCAAAAAGAGAAAGGAAGTAATTGCTTTTTCATTCTGGAGTGCTGAGTATCCAGTGTTGTTCCAGGTCCTAGATAGGGCTCTGGTGAGCAGAGGGGTGGGCTAGACTTGTGTTTATAGGAGAATAGCAGTGGCCCCTTCTCAATGAGCACAAGTACAGCGGCCTCTTCTGAAAGTTCATCAAAAGAGACTTCCTCTTGTGAGCTTAATGTTGATTTTTACATGTTCAATAAAACTGGAGTAAGATATTAGAACTTTAAAGGGAGAAGGCAAGACATAGTTAAGTCAGTGATTCTAGAGCTGGTTGTGGTTGAGTTGGAGGCCTGCCTGGGCTGCTTCATGAATACCAGGCCAGTCGGAATTAGAAAACAAGATCCTTTAAATATGAGTAAATAAATGAATAAACAGAGGAAAGGGAAAGAAAAGAAAAAGAAACACACATCCTAAAACCTGATCCTATGTCGGTGAGCTGTTCAAGGCACACACACAGGCCTTTCCAGGCTCTTAGACACCCACACAGATCTTTGCAGGTTCTTAGACCCCCTCTTCCCCACAGGCCTTTCCAGACTCTTAGACCCTCCACACAGGCTTTACCAGACTCTTAGACACCCACACAGATCTTTTCAGGTTCTTAGACCCCCCCCCCCCACAGGCCTTTCCAGGCTCTTAGACCCTCCACACAGATCTTTTCAGGTTCTTAGACCACCCCCCCAGGCCTTTCCAGACTCTTAGACCCTCCACATAGGCCTTTCCAGACTCTTAGACCCTCCACACAGGCCTTTCCAGACTCTTAGACCCCCCCCCAGGCCTTTCCAGGCTCTTAGACCCTCCACATAGGCCTTTCTAGACTCTTAGACCCTCCACACAGGCCTTTCCAGGCTCTTAGACCCTCCACACAGGCCTTTCCAGGCTCTTAGACCCTCCACACAGGCCTTTCCAGACTCTTAGACCCTCCACATAGGCCTTTCCAGACTCTTAGACCCTCCACACAGGCCTTTCCAGGCCCTTTACACCAACCTTAACTTTTGCTTATTCATTACAGTCAGGGTTGACAAAAATAGAATGACTTTCTGTTGAAAGAAGTTCCCACCACATAAGAGATTTTAAATCTCAGATGTATTCCTATTTTCCTCTCATAGACTTGACCTGGTACTATCCACTCTTGAGATTCTTTCTCCTTACTGGGCAGTCTGCCCAGTCTGGCAATATTTATGATGATGAGAAATGTAGGCATGGAACAGGGTCAGAAGGCTAGCCCATTCCGAAGATGCAGATCCACCTGCTGGCGCGACTGCACACGGTATGAGGTCTTCAGCAGGAACAAAGTTTGGGCTTCCAGTAACACTGGATTGGGTGTTAACTTTCCAAATTCTCAGTTTCCAGGGGTACCTGAAGATGAGGAATATTTTACAATTCACTCTGAAGTTTTGACAGTTGTTAAATGGTGCCACTTCCTGACTTTCAGGAAGAAATGCTAAGCTACCAAGATGACCAAAAGTCATTGCTGTCCATAGTCAACAACTATCTTCCTCTAATGTTTTAAACTTAATGCAATCGTATCATTTATCTAGCAAACCTCGACAACCTCAGAGAAAAAGGACAGAACAGGACGAATCAGATAGGACAGGCAGGCTATAGATTATATATCCACGAAACTATCAGTATCACTATATAAAATATATCAAATATTTAAAGAGATTACTCTAAAAAGTTATACCGTTAACATAACAAAATTGAGATCATATAATATTACTTAGTAAAGACTTACTATCACCTTCGATAGCTCAGTTGGTAGAGCGGAGGACTGTAGTGGAATCTTTCGCCTTGGAGGTATCCTTAGGTCGCTGGTTCGAATCCGGCTCGAAGGATGAGCATTTTGGTGGGAGTGTAAGGGAGAATTGTCTACCGTGACTTTCCTTCTTAGCCTATTGAAAGACTTTTTGCCAGGAATTAGGACATACGCAATACACTGTGGGGTTCCCTGTGGTCGGCATCATCAGTGTTGACACAAAAAGAATTTTATGAGGCCATGCCAAGCATACCCAAAAGCAAAACGTCGGGTACCATTTCCCAGATAAAGCTATCATCAGTTCAGCCCCTTTTGCACAGTGTGTCCCCAACACACTCCGCCCACCTCTGACAGTTCTACGAACACCTAAGATGTGCAGTCCTCTCAGTAAAGGTCCGAGTGAGGGAATAAAAGAGGGACCAGGTTTGTGTTCCTCTCCTCCTCCCCACTGCGAGCGAAGACGATTGAAGGAGTCTCTCAAAATTACAGGCGAAGGGTGCAGAAGAGACCCACGCTGGAATCCCAGCAACTGCTCTCGAGAGGTTGGAGCAGGAGAACCTGGGCAGAGCTCGTAAATATCCGCAGTTTTTGTTTTTGCTCTTGGTGTCTGCGTTTTGGCTTTTCTTTCTCAGAGGCTTTCTGGTGCACCTAGGCTGCTCCAGCTCCGTACAGCCTTCCCTCAGCTCCCCACCTGATCTCTGCAGTCTCCACTCCTAGCCGAAAACTCTCTGGAACATCGATGTTGTACATACCCGCAGACCTCCAGAAGCTGCCCACTCAGCCACCAAACAGTTCAGCCCACTCTACCTGTGAAGATGTGGCAACTTCAGTGGACGAGCAGAGGAGCCGGATGAGAAAAGTCTTGACGGGTTCTTCAGAAACTGGGATAATCTATCCTTTAGGAAATTCCTTCTGGAACAAATATTCTCTTCCACCAGCCCCAGTAGGTTCGTTTTCACACACCTCTGGCGCTAGAACAGGAATTGAAGTCCAAGACTTCACTGGGAAAACACTTTAATTGTAATGTTATGATCTTCCACAGTTGAAATACTGGAATGATTTCCACAGATGTTACTTTTTCTCTTCACCTATTATAACTAATAAACTTTAAAATGTATGAATTTCAACAAATAAATAAAAGTTTCCCTGGATGGCATCCTATGCTTTCCCATGGTACTCGTTTTTCTGTATTAGGCACCAGGAAGCCAGTGGCACCATAGGTGGTCGCTAGCCAAACATAAACATGAAATGATTAAATTTATTATCTCTGAGGTTTGTAATGTTTTGTTTATTTGTTCCAGTATAATTGTTCAATATAACATGGGCTGCTCCATTCCTAACCACATGCAGTACTGGTTAGTTTTTGTCAACTTGACACGTTAGTCATCTGGAAGAGGGAGTCTCAGTTTTGAAAATGCCTCTATCAGATTGGCCTGTAGGCAAGTCTCGGGGAATTTTCATGATTAATGATCGATGTGGATGGCTCAGTGCCACTGCTGGACACCTGGGTTGTATGGGAAAGCAATGGTGTGCAAGCCAGGAAGAAGCATTCTTCTATGATAATCCGCTTCACTTTCTGCTTCCAAGTGCTTGCTTGCTTGAGTTTCTGCCCAGGTTTCCCTTATGTAATCAAGATGCATAACTTAAATAAACCCTTTCCTCCCGAAGTTGCTTTTAGTCATAGTATTTTAACACAGTGACAGACACCAAACTGAAACACATCAAAAGCCTATCAAATTTTGTGTCTGATACAGCTGCATTCACCTTTCTTCCCTTATTCTTCAGAAAAGAGAATCATGCATTTCTCTGAACTGGGCAATAGCTCTGCTTCAGGATGGTGTTGTCTATGATAATGTTCTTTTCTCCCACTTTTAACAGAGGGAGGATGTCCTAAAGATACAGGACACTACAGTAAGACAATCCAGTGAAAACAATATTCTAGTACCTTAAAAGACTCTTCTGGTGGTTGTTTGCTTTCCACAATTAATCAGAAAGTAGAACAAAACAATCCCTTATGTCATAAATTATCACTACCTTGACAGCTCCCTTCGATAGCTCAGTTGGTAGAGCGGAGGACTGTAGTTGTACTTCCTGGATATCCTTAGGTCGCTGGTTCGAATCCGGCTCGAAGGAGAAGCCTTTTGGTGCGCTTTAGATTCCCTCATCAAAAGGTGGTATAAAAACACCAATGTGTACTAATGACCTTAAGAACTTTAGAAGTTCAGATTTGTAGGAGACATGAGTTTATCCTATAAATTACATTCGGTCTAAATCCATAATTTTAATGAGATGGTCTTTTAGAGATAAACATTTTTCATACATGTCATGATTTATAACATTTACATTCAGTCTAAATCCATAATTTTAATGAGATGGTCTTTTAGAGATAAACAACATTTTTCATACATGTCATGATTTATAACATCCAACCCTATCATAATTCATATATTCCATAAAAATATCCCTGTATGGCTTCTCGTTTTTCCCAATGGTACTCATTTTTCTTAGGATGAGGATTCTGAATGGCACCATAGGTGCTTGTTAGCCAGGCATGACAGCATACTTAAAATGGAATGGTTAAAATTACTTTTTGAGGTGTATGTATAATGTTTCATTTATCTGCTCCACTACAGTTGTGCAAGATAGTATGTTTTACTCCTTTTTTAGATCCACGTTAAAGGCATCTCATGCACTTGTCCAGAAGGAGAATCACGCGCTTCTCTGGTGAAATGGGCACCAGTGCTCCAGACGTCTCTGCTATCATTGACCTTTTCTCTCACTTTTAATAAAGAAAGGAGGTGCTAAGGAGACTGGAGGGTTCAACGAGGAGCGTCCATCAAAGGGGATGGATGCTCTGGTCTGTAAGGATTCAGGGCATGAACATTTCAAGGAGCATTTTTGGGGGAAATCTATGTGAAACACACATTAAAAAGCACACACCTCAAACCTGTTGTGTGATCACTAGCTAATTTACTCTTAAAATATCCTAGTACCTCAAAAACATTTCCTTATCATCTATTTTAAAATGAATCAGAGGAATTACAAGAAATCCACCAACTACTTTATAAACCTTAAAGGGACTGTTGTTATCTTCCTTCGATAGCTCAGTTGGTAGAGCGGAGGACTGTAGGTTGACTTAGTAATCCTTAGGTCGCTGGTTCGAATCCGGCTCGAAGGAGTGCTCTTTTGGAACAACTTCACCACCACCATGTTCCCCAGATTTTTAAGAAAATTGAAGAACCCTGTGACAATCAATGTCATGTGAATATATACAATTATAAACGTTGGTGAAGCAAACATAATCAACAACTCCCAAGTGCTGTTCCAAAAACCAAACAATAAAGTATTCTTCGAGTTCCCAGAAGAAGTTTCTCTTCACGAAATTCAGGTCGGATCATGAGGAGTGTTAAAATAATGCGTTGAACCGCGATTTTGCATGTCCACTCATTGGCGAGTCAATGATTCTTCACGATCCTCTACTATAGTCAAATTTTTAAAGTGTTAATTTTCAAAAGAGTCTGTCTTGTAGCCCAGGCTGGTCTGGAACTTACCTTCCTTTCTCCACCTCCCAAGAACTGCGGATTACGTGGTTGCCACCACTCGCAGTTGACTTGGCACTTAATGTTTATAAACATTTCACCAACAATGATTCCAAACACACACAAAGTAGAGAAATAGCATCAGGTGTTGCCATGTAGCTACCGCGTGAGACACTCTCGCATCTTCACATGTGCCCCTCCCCCAGCCTCACTGCTTTGTGGTAATTTCTAAGAGGTGTTCTCAAGCGTCACCACTGCTGCTGAAATAGTAGTCCGTTAAAAATTAAAAGTAGGAGTCTGTTCTCCCCACACCGGAAAAGAAGCAGAGGTAGCCAACAGAAAGTTCTCTTCAATGAAAGCAGCAAAACAAACTCACGGTAAATCCAGCTTTAATTATTTGGCCTTCAGATGCGCTCGAGCTTTACATAGAACAACCGGAACCTGCCGACAGTTGTCCCGGATTCTGTCCTCTATAATTTTCGTGGCGGTGAAGGATAAGAAATTATGTGGGGCCTCGGCGAGAGAACACTTAAATCCTCAGGGTCGTCCTGGGCTCCGTCTACAAAGCAGGAGGGACGGTTAGTTCACGAACTCCAGAAGCATCCAGGAGCCTCACCAGCTGGACTTAGCAGCCTGAGGCACAGCCGCTGCCACTGCGCAGGATCTGGGGCCTTAGGTCCCCAAAACAAGACCCCACCACTTAGCGGCGCCGGCGACCCGCTGGTATGAGGACCGCGCCCCCTGGCGGCTGTGCGGGGGTACTGACCGAAGCGTGGCCAGAGAGCAGAACCGAGCGCATCAGCTTGCAATAGAAATAGATTCGAGCACAACAGCAGAGAAAATACTCTAAATAATACATTTAAAGATCTAAATATTCACGAAGTTAAGTTTAAAATCACTAGAGGCGCGTTTAAAATTTAAAAGCACAAATTAAAATTCCAAAATTATATGTGCAAGTTTATAAGCTGCTTCAAAAACTTTAATTTTAAAATGTTTAAAACTCAGTTGAAATTTCAAATAATTAAAACTCCAAAGCTTTGACTGAAATTTACATACAAACTGAACTTCATCTTTTAAAAGATGGATTATCCCCCTCAGTCGCATTCGCACCATCGTCCTGGAATAAAATACTGTTTTGGTCTGTACAACATAAACTTTCCCAAAAAGTTCTGCAAAAACCCCGTGAGAGGCACAAGGACACGCATTTGGTGCAGGCAGGCAAAAACATTCATACACATTAAAAAGAAAAACTTCAAGTACTCCTCGGGAGCTTGCGGGCAAAGGCGTTCTACAGGGACCCGCTTCTGTGGCTCCGCCTCTTACTCCAGAGTCAAGCCTTTTGGCCCCGCCCCGCCCCGCCCCAAACCCGGAAGCTAGCTCTAAGCGACCTTTCGCGTTTGCCTGGTCGGCTCCGCTCCCCAGCAGCTGACCACGCCGTCTTTTTATTGGTCTTCACGGAACCGTCCCAACCCCTCGCCACAGAACAACACACAGGATTTACGTCATAAGCCACCTTTATTCCCTTCCCAGATCGCAGATCGTCTCGCAGGATATGCGTCATCGGGTGGCGACAGATTTACGGCGGTCGTGCTCCCCATATCCGCCATCATGAAAGCCGCGGAATTGGTGGAAGTGCAAAAGGTGCCGATGGCCGGAGAGTCGCATGAAGAGGCAGAGCTGAGTGCAGAGTCGGCGGAGGAGCAGGAGTCCGAGGAAGCGGCCTGCAACAGCAGCAAGAAGAAGAAGAAGGTAGTGCCGGGCATTGTGTACCTGGGACATGTCCCGCCGCGATTCCGTCCCTTGCACGTACGCAATCTGCTCAGCGCCTACGGTGAGGTCGGACGCGTTTTCTTCCAGGCCGAGGGTAAGCCCTGCGTTGAAAGAAGAGGGTGGCGATGCAGGCCGGTGGGGACGACTTATTGCAGTCTGTACTGGGTGAGGCGTGGGTTGTTGGCTTTTGGAAGACTCTGGCTCCGTAGTGGCTGTTAAATCTGTAGCGTTAACGTGTCTTTGAAGCCTGGGGCCGGGGAAGGAAAATGGAGAGGGTGGGCGGGTAGAGTTGGGTAATAAGGCCTGAAAGATACCCCTGATTTTCAGATAGCCCCCGAAACAGTGTATGATTAGCGTCCTTCAGCCTCTTCCACTCTTGACATGCACAATTTGGAAATGGAGGGGGGAACTGGTGCGGCTCTCGGTGTTCAGGGAGCTGTCATTTGAAGACAGGAATGAGTTATAAGGAAAAGAGAGTCTGTACCTGACAGATACTCCTTTCCTATCAACAACTATGAAATAACACCCGAGCTAACGGGTTTGGACTTCTGGCCAGACAGAGGTGTGTCTCAGTGGATGCTTGACCAGGATGCTCGTTGTTTTTGGCCCACAGACCGCTTTGTGAGACGCAAAAAGAAGGCAGCTGCAGCCGCAGGAGGAAAGAAGGCAGCTAAATACAGCAAGGACTATACAGAAGGCTGGGTGGAATTCCGTGACAAGCGCATAGCCAAGCGAGTGGCAGCCAGTCTACATAACACGCCCATGGGTGCCCGCAGGCGCAGTCCCTTCCGTTATGACCTGTGGAACCTTAAGGTGAGGTTCTAGGTTTCTCTGCCACACTTTAATTATCCTAGCCCTTGCAGGTCATCTCTCTTGTTAACTCCTAACAGGTCACAGTTTCTTCTCCCGTTCTGGTTTTCCCCGTCTTGACCTTTTCGTATGTTCCTGTCCACAGTATTTGCATCGTTTTACTTGGTCCCACCTCAGCGAACACCTTGCTTTTGAGCGCCAGGTACGCAGGCAGCGCCTAAGAGCAGAGGTTGCCCAAGCAAAGAGAGAAACTGACTTCTATCTTCAAAGTGTGGAACGGGGACAGCGCTTCCTTGCAGCTGATGGGGATGCTACTCGCCCGAATAGTTCCTGGACATTTGCACAACGTCCCACAGAGCAGGAGCTGAGGGCTCAGAAGGCAGCACGGCCAGGAGGTCGGGAACGAGCTCGCCTGGCTAATGCCCAGGACCAGGCCAGATCTAACAGAGGGCTCCTTGCCAGGATCTTTGGAGCCCCTCCACCTGCAGAGAGCAAGGAAGTACCGTAACCAGCAAGGAACTCCTGGTGGAACGAGAAGCCTCTTGTAGCTGCTAGCCCTGCTGTCTTCCGGTCTGCCTCCCACAGAGTGTAATGAACTGTCCAGGCAGAAGTTTTCACTCTTCTGCAGACCCAAGAGTCGGGTAAAAAGCCTTTTTGGCCTGTTCAACCCACCGTGACGAAATGCTGTTAAGTTCGCTTACTTCTGGTTGCCTGCCTCTTTCTCAATGTGCTCCTAACAATGTCTGGCTCCAGGAGTGGATTTCCCTTCCACTAGAGCAGCAATGACGCACCCATGTGGTCCATGGTGTTCATTCACTGTAGTGGGGGCAGAATTAAATCAGTGGCCCAATTTGAAGTTTTTGTTTGAAAATTAAAAAAAAAATCCTATATGCTTTTTAGCATTTAGGTGAGAATCATCCAGTGAGTTTCCGTTTCTTTTGAAGTCAAACATGCTACTCAGTTACTCTAGCACAGGCATGATCCTAGTGCACGCCTGGCTCTCAGTTACTCTAGCAGATACGATCCCAGTGCTCCTCATGCCTTTTTCAAGTTCCAGCTAGTCTTGAGTCATTCTGTAAGTTGCTCAGGTAAGCCCTGAACTTAAATCCTGTCTCAGCCTCCCAAATAACTGGGATTATACATCTGTGCCAATGTTCTTAAATAAGTAAGTAAAATAACAATTTTGCTTTGTTCAATAAATTCTTATCTTGAAAAGATGTTTACAAGCTATCATAAACCCTATCTTTTACAATGTTCCAGTACTTACTTTGGTTCATGTCTTTTTTTTTTTTTGGTTTTTTGAGACAGGGTTTCTCTGTAGCTTTGGAGGCTGTCCTGGAACTCACTTTGTAGACCAGGCTGGCCTCGAACTCACAGAGATCCACCTGCTTCTGCCTCCTGAGTGCTGGGATTAAAGGCGTGCGCCACCAACGCCCAGCTTGGTTCATGCCTTATGTACAAAAATTGCATATGTGGTAAGAAAGATATTTACTACTAGATCTAGGGGAAGAAAGACTTTGCCAGTGTATCAGCCCTGCATGGATCCATTCCACGCCTTTCCAGCCTCTGTTCTAATCTCCATTCCCTTCCTCAGTCCCGCCTGCATGTGGTTCTATCACATGGGCTGCTTTCCTAGGCACCTTCTGAAACTTCTCTTCCAACAGCCTGACACCCTGGCCCCTTGTTCCCTTCCGCTTAGGCTCAGGTGCATTCTCCTTTTTTTTTTTTCCCGAGACAGGGTTTATCTGTATTGCTTTCAAGGTTGTCCTGGAACTCGATCTGTAGACCAGTCTGGCCTCAAACTCAAAGAGATGCGCCTGCTTCTGCCTCCCAAGACCTGGGTTAAAGGCATGTGCCACCAACGCAGCTGCATTCTTCTTTGAGATCAAGTCAAATAGGATGTCAGGTGGCTTCTCCACCTGAAGTAGGTGCTCTGTTTCTGTGGGGCTGGAGCACTATCAGATTTCTGGGGTAACATTTCTCCTGTTTTGCAGTACTTGTTGACATTTGCTTCCCTCTGTTACCAGGAATGAAGATTGAACTTCATCTTTGACTCCTTAAGGTGCCAGTTTGTTTGGCAATAAATATTCGCTGACTCTTTGAGTTACTATGAGGAAAGATTTTATAAAAATCCTAAGTAATATGTTCTGCACTTTACCCATGATGTTTACTTTGACAACCAAGTCGGGAACCATCATCTACTTGTGAGAGTGGTAAGGAGTGGCAGAAAGGCATTGTCTAAAGAGTCACATAACTAATTGAAGGGAGAGTTACATCTTCATCTGGGGTCTCTGTTTAAACCTATTCTTTCCACATAGCCTCCTCTACAGTAATAGTGGAAGAACAGTGAAAGTTAATGGAACACAGTAGAGCACAGTAATGAAGCCTTGACAAAACCAAGTGTTAGCTGGGCTTCGTGCAAGCCTTTAATCTCAGTACTTGGGAGACAAAGACAGGCAGGTATCTGTGAGTTTAAGGCCAACCTAGTCTACATGGTGAGTTCCAGGACAGCCAGGCCACATTGTCGCAAAAAAAAACAAGAAAAAGAAAGAACCAAGTGTTAGTGCAGATGCTTCATAAATAAGATTGGGAAGCAATGAGCATTTTCTATTTTGTAGATAATTTCTGATTTCCAACATTGGGTGTTTACGGCTCTTTCCCAGCCCTGTGGAGGAAAGTTGAGCCTGCTACCAAAACTGACTTAAAACCTGCACTTTAACTGGGCTTTGGTGGCCCATGCCTTTAATCCAACCACTCAGCAGGCAGAGGAAGGTGGATCTCTGTGAGTTCAAGGCCAGCCTGGTCTACAGATCCAGTTCCAGGACAGCCTCCAAAACAATACAGAGAAACCCTGTCTCGAAAAACCAAAAAAAAAAAAAAAAAACCAAAAAACCCAAAAACTTGCACTTTAAGGCACCATGGAGTCATGTGCAGTTATGGTCATTGTGCCTATATTTGCTGACTCTCAGCTGGCAATACAGGACAAGGACTAGCTTGCTTCTATAATGGGTTTCCCTGGAAATTAGTTGTGAATTAATATGGATAAGGAATAGTGCTTTTGTTTTTTAAATTGGTCTTTTTCAAAAATAAATTATTTTTATTTTATGTGTATTGGTGTTTTGCCTGCCTGTATGTCTGTGTGAGGGTGTTATATCCCTTGGAACTGGAGTTTAAGACTGCCTTGTGGGTGCTGGAAATTGAACACCAGGCTCTCTGGAAGAACAGCCCATGCTCTTAACTGCTAAGCCATCTCTCCAGCGCCTTAAATTGATCTTTTTAAAAAGACTTCTTTTCTATATGTATGGATGGTTACCTTCAGGTATTCTGTGCACAGAAGGCGTTACATTCCCTGGTGCTGACAGCTGTGAACCAGCATGTGAATGTTGGGAACACAGGTCCCCTGGAAGAGCAACCAGTGCTCTTGACTGGGGAGCCATCTCTCCACCATCAAGGATTAGCACCCTAGTTTTGATATGGGGATATGATGTGATAAGTGCATTGCTCCAATGCTTGACTGTATCATCACCAATTACCACAAACTGCCCATTCCTCCATTCCAGCAAAAAAGTGATTTTTGTTCCAATTCTCCCTGTCCTAGCTTTGGAGGGGCAGACTCATGGGCAACTACAAATATGTTATTTGATTAGTTAATCCTAGGGTTTCCCCTTGGTAGTAGTTGGATGAGGTTTATTATCAGATCTACACACCAATAGGAGGGAAATGCACTCAGCAATAGTTGTTGTCCACAAGTGCAAGTGAGAGGTCTGTTGCTTTTCCTCTGGACTTTGTCAGGAGCTGTGAGGCTTAAAGGAACTAACACAAGAGTGTGAGGCTCATGTTGGGAACGGCAGCAGATTCAATGACATCATGAGACACTAAGTCTGTATTTCTGATACAGGGGGTATTAGATCCACTGGTGCAGACATCTGTGAATGGTGGGAACCCAGGTCCTCAAGAGGGGCAGAGATTCCAATGCCATCATGAGACAATGAAGTACCCTCTGTCATTTCTGTCTCCAGGTGTGTGGGCTGTGATGCTATATCCACTTTGTTTAAGACGTTTGCTGCTGAGAGCTCCTAGGCTAGCTATCTCATAACTCAGTACTGGAAGCCTTGTGTCCCAATTCCTCTGATCACCTACCTACCTGATGAAAAGTTCAAGTCAGTGACAGTCTGTGTGCCAAGGGTCAGCAGTATATTCTGGATGTTCTGGCCTTCCTTTTAGGACTGGAGACCAGCCCTGCTTGACAGTCAATAACTTTATACTTAATTGTAAATTGCCCAGCACCAACTCTACTCCCAAAGCCACTTAAAAAGGAAAGACAAAGTGGAATTTGTCAGGCAGAGGGACAGGCAAAAGAACAAACTCTTACTTGAGAAATGGAAACATCAGTGTAGTGTGTAGTCTCCGCTGTTTCTCAAACACCTGCCTTGGGATAGCATACGATCAGATGCCTGCAAGCTACCTGGACAGTGAGACAACCTTTTTCCTGATGCTGACATTGTTGCTTCAGGTCTTCCCTCATGCCAGCAGATGTTAATCTAGGAGCAGATACTGTAGACACGAGGATCCTGCTCTAAGGAGGGGACCAGGAAGAGGGGGGCAGTTGAGCAAGCAGTGTGAGGAACATCACAGATGAGACATTTGCAGTCCCCCACAAGGACAGGCAGGAACCCAACCAAATGGAAATTAATTCAGTCAGATTGAGGTGTTTTTCTGTTATTTCCTTACTTAAAGATAGGACCTCATTACTTAGTCCTCAATGGTTTGGGCCTGCCTAGGTAGACCAGGATGGTCTTGAGTTCTCAATCTTACTCCACCTCAAAGTGCCGAGATAACAGGTAGGTTGTTCCTACCAGTTTCAGACTCCTGGGTTCCTGTTTGGAAACCAGACCCCTAAAATCTCCCAATAAGCTAGTTCCAGGTTCCTCCCTCCCAGTGAGAAGGAATTTAAATCTTACAGAAAGTGCCACTTCAAGAGCAGTGACCTAGGACCAGTGAGAGAACTCAGCAGGTAAAAGTACTTGCCACCAAGCCTGACTACCTGAATTTGATCCTTGGGACCCACATGGGAGAAGAACAGAACCAACTTCTGCATTTGTCCAGATTTCAGCACGGGAACACTGCCACTCTCCCTTCCCCTGCCCCCTAACAAATAGGTGTAAAAGAATAAAAACAAAAAAACTGTTTACATCTGCTAAGCTGAGAAGTAGGAGGTGGGGTGGACTCATGTCAGGAATGTCAGTAGAAGTCAACATTAAGTGTGGGGATCATTGAGAAAGAGCAGGAATCCTGTACGAATCGGTTCCCAGAAACTTCCAAGAATGTTGGTTGAAGCTCAAAGAATGACCTAGGCTGGTGGGACATAATAGACAGAGGCCCTGGCTATGGACAAAAAAATTCTTGTTATGGCCTGGATGTGACCAGTTGAGAGCACGCAATGCCTACCATGAAAACGATCCTGGTTTAAAATGTTCCCTTTTGACAGTGAGTTGGGGCATTGGATCTGACCAGTATAATCCACCCAGGTCAAGAAAATCTTCAGAAAGCATCTTTCTGAAACATTCCTCAAAAATCTCTGTTATAACTTTCTTTAGGTCACCACACGCTGAGGTGTGAGAGGAGGGGCAAAAGGTTTCCCAAGAAAAGATGAGAACCTGTCACCGGTCACCAGCAGCATCTCCTACACCACCCCACTTTGCAAGGAGAATGTCCATCTAAGGACTTTTGGCTCTGTGTTTAAATCCCCTCCGAGAATGGACACAAAAACAGCAGCTCACCATGCCCAATTTTCTTTGATAAACAACTGCAGTTCACATTGAAACCAACTATCTTGGCCTCATAACCAGTAGAGAGAGGCTTTAGTAAGGCAGGTGGGATGCACCTGGTCAGACAGGAATACTACCCAACAGCTGTAAGTAATCTTCCTTGAGGGAGAGGAGCTACCTGCCCCAAGTGGGCAATGGTGATTGTGTTTGGGCCCAGGGAGTGCGGCTGAGGTGTGAGTCCCTGGCAGGATGAGCTGTGGTTTTCCTTGGTCTCCCCACCAAGGCTCTGTGGGTCCTGAACCCTACTCTACTGTATGCATGCACCATGTCTGCCCTCTGTGCTCCCACGGTTGGGAGGACTCTGGATTTGTCCTCAGGGAGGGATCTACACCTTGAGAGGATCATGAATGTAAGGGAGGTGGGCCCCGTGGCAGTCCACACAGGATTTGCCCAGACCAAATTCTCAGCACAAAGGGGATTTATTAACCCGAGAGTGGTCGGGGCTGCAAAGACAGCAGCAAGTAAGCAAGACAAGTAAGAGAACAAGAATGGGTGTTTCTGCAGGGTTGTGTTTTACAAGAAAAAGGGTGAGTCTGTCCCTGCATGAGCGGGGAAATCCTGGTTGGTCATATTAGCCAAACGATGTTTTTTTTTTTCTTGAGGACCAAAGCTTAGTTTTTCAGAATTAATGCTTTGTGACCTCACACTGACTGAAGACAACCATGTCTAACAAATGTGAAAAGGAAAAGTATCTCAATTCGCCCAGCCCTGTGCTCCTGACGCCTCCCCTTCCCGGCCTCACCTGCACTATGTGCAGCCCTCTGCTCCACCCCCAACCATTCGCAGTCTACCTGCATTTAGTTTTGCAAGAGAGGACAATATTGATTCTCCTAGATGTGAACTGACCTCAGGATTTATCCTCAAGCCTTCTATTTGTGGAAGAGTGTTTCAGGGTATTTATATTGACTAGATTCATTTTCTTCTGTGAAGTAAAGTGTGTGCACACATAAAAACCAAATTCACAGTGAAGATCCACATTAGAACTTTCAGATTCAGAAGGAAAAGCTTAGACATTTCTCTATCAAATGGCAGGGGAAGTTGTTGCATTCAAGTTAAAAGCTTACTTAGGATGGGACAGGCATTCTGCTTTTAATCTTACATTGTAATTTCACTTATTCTTTTGTTTGTAGAGATACATGATATATCCCCATGACCATCCTGGAGCTGGCTACATAGACCAGAATGGCCTTGAATATGCCCAAGTTTTGTATGTCAGTAACCTCATTTGCTTTATAGAATAACTTGTGCTCCACTCTCAAACTGGAAATAGACCCAATAAAGACTTTTTTTTTTTTTTTTTTTTTTTTTTTTTGAGACATGGTTTCTCTGTATTGTTTTGGAGCCTGTCCTGGAACTTGCTCTGTAGATCAGGCTGGACTCTAACTCACAGAGATCTGCCTGCCTCTGCCTCCCAAGTGATGGGATAAAAGGTATGTGCCACTAATGCCCAGCCTTTTTTTCTTTTCTTAAATATATTTTTGAGGCATGATTACACTATGCAGCTCTGGCTGACCAGGACTTCACCTTGTAGACCAGGCTGACCGAAAACTCACAGAGATCCACCCCTCACTCCCCCACCCCCTCTTCTCAGTGTGCCCTGTTATCCCAGTGTGGAGATGAAAGTCATGTGCCTCCACACCAGACCCAATTAAGATCTTTAATGTTTATTTCATAGTTGTATGTACCTGTTTATTTTCCTTTATTTTTGGACAAGGTCTCACTCAGAAAATCTGGCTGACTTCAAACTTCAGGTTCTCCTGCCTCAGCCACTTCCGGGAAAGCAGATCTGGCTGCTGGAAAGAGGGGTTGATGAGGGAGGCCAGCCTCTTTTCTTGGTCTCTTCAATAAAAGAATTTAGAGAGACAAAGGAGTCTAGCAAGCAAAGTGTTCACTTACAAAGCTCAAATGCATTCTGGGTAGCAGAATGGAAACCTCAGGCAGGGACTGAGGAATCCAAAGACAGTGGAACAGAGAAATTAAGGTAAGCTTTACATCAGCACAAAGACCAGCAGCATTTCTAAACACTAGCAACAAGATGCCTGAGAGGGTCTCAAAAATTCCAATTATAGTAGCTACAAATAAAAATGATACATTTATCCAGCAGGCTGAAAGCTATAAAACATTTAAAATGCTATGAAAGTGGAAAAAATGATAGCAGTTTCAGCAAAAACAAAAACAAACAAAAGTAGATTCATCGCCGGGCAGTGGTGGCACACGCCTTTAATCCCAGCACTCGGGAGGCAGAGGCAGGAGGATCTCTGTGAGTTCGAGGCCAGC